TAATTCTGACAGATTTGCCATTCCAGTTTAAGAGATTACAGTTTCCGCTGAAAATCGCATTCGCTATGACGATAAATAACGCTCAGGGGCAAACATTAAAAGAAGCCGGCATTAATTTAGAAAAGAGTTGTTGACGTGCTCACGTGTTTCAAGTCCACAGATTCTCCATGTCTTATTTTTAACTTCCTACATTATTATACTACTTACATTAAGTTAGTGCTTCCTACGCAGACGATGTCGCGGCTGTCACACTGTCTAACATCGGGGGTTGGCAGGTAGGTAGTTAGTAGTATTTTAAACCGATTTACATTATTTATTTTTATATTTACTAAGGAATCATTCGGAGCTATCCATTATGTGCTTAGGTTGCTTTTGGAGTAATTTTGATGTGAATTTGAGGACTGGAACACGATAGTGGGACATTGTTGCAAGGGGACTTACAGCCGGGAAAAAACGAAAAAACTTATGCGGACGAAGTAGCGGGTAAAAGCTAGTGTATGTATATACACAATTTAATACTGGAATTACGCAATAAAAGAGGCACCCATGAAAAATATTTTTCTATACATAAAACAACGTTATTTTGAACTCAAAAACTCACTTTGGGGTAAAATATTAACAAATAATTTAATGCCTTTAGCATTCCCAATTTTAACCAAGAATGCATAAGCATCAGGATAGCGGAATGAGTGACCTTACACCTTAGGCATATACCTAGGATAAGAGGATGGATGAAGTTATGTGGAGAAGTTCACGCAAGTGCAGAAAGTTCTCTGATTGCCATTCACTTGAGAGTGATCAGCAACGTTTTTTTTTTACATATGGCTCAAACAGCTCACGACTTCCGGTCTTAGACCAAGTATGCTTTGGGTACCCAAAGAACATCTGTTTGAAGGCGAGCTAAAATCAGAAAGCGAAACATCCCTCCAAAGATTTTACGCCCCCAATGAAAGATTACGAACAGCCTCAGAAGAGAAGCGAAAGATCTTTAGCATATCACTGGAAATGGCAAATCTGTCAGAATTAWGGGTATACGGGGGATTAAAACATTCTCTCCTTTTGCCATTCCAGTCATAAYGAYTGCTTTTACAATATTGCGACCGAGATGTGTTACTTGCAACCGTGTGGCATTACACTGTCTTGGTGCATTTTGAATTTCGCATCAAAAGGACAGGAACGCCTACTAGAGAAGCGAAAGATCTTTAGCATATCACTGGTTTGCTTCCACGCCCCGGTTTAAGAGAAGGAACAAATGAGTTGAGGCTGATCGACTTCACCGGGACCCAAAATATTGTTATCTGTAGTAGTGGATTCCAGCATAGAAAATTCACTAAGCTACCTGGCTGTCTCCAGATCGAAAAACCTCCAACTAGTTGTGATAGACGAAAGACACGTCCCAAGTACGTCAACAAACACAAGGAAGGTTCGACGTCGAGAAGCTGCAATCACAACAGGCAGCCGAACAGGTTTTTTTAATGGACTTGCACCCCTGCTCTCTGAGAGAAATCGTCAACAATTCGGTATAAGGGAACCGAATGACAGTGAAAGCATAACACCTGAAGATGTCGAACCCAAATCCTCAATCGATGACGATAGAGCAGACGTTCCAATGCCGACCATAAAAAGTTCGAAAAGCAATTAAACGCCTGATGAACAGCAAAGCGGCGGGGCCGATGGATTGCCGGTCGAGCTATTCAAACAAGGTGTCAAAAAACTGAAAGGAGCATACCACCTCTTCGTTGATTTTAAAGTTGTTTTTGGCAGTACGAAAAGGAGCTGTCTCTATGCCGCTATGTCTGAATTTAGTATCCCCGCGTAACTAATGCGGCTGGGTAAACTGACGCTGAGCAATACCAAAGCTCCGTCAGAATCGGGAAGGACCTCACCGAGCCGTTCGATATCAAATGATATTTCAGAGAGGACGGCTCTTTATCGTGCGATTTCTTCAATATACTGCTGGAGAAAATATATCGAGATGCAGAACTTAACCAAGAAGGTAAATTTTTTTTATAAGAGTGTACAGCTGCTGGCAAATGCCGATGATATTGATATCATTGGTCTCAACATTACGTCATTAGTTCTGCTTTCTTCAAACTGGACAAGGAAGCAAAGCAAATGGATCTGTCAGTGAACGAGGACAAGATGAAATACCGAGCTATGATCAAACAAACAGTCGCCGCACTCGCGACTTTCCTCTCACGTCACTGTTGACAGTCATAACTTCGAAGTTGTAGATAATATCGTCTTTCTTGGAACCAGCATTAGCACCAACAACAATGTCAGGCTCGAAAGAATAACTCTTGCCAACAGGTGCTACTTCGGACAAAGTAGGCAATTGAGAAGTAAAGTCCGCTCTCGACGAACAAAAACCAAACTCATTATTCCCGTCCTGCTTTATGGTGCAGAGGTTTAGACCAGGGATAAAGGGGTGCCCAACTTATTCCAGTGTGAGAGCGCCTCAAAATTAGCGTTTTTATAAAAATTTCCGTTATAGCCAGATGGGACAGAATAATTACTTTTGGAAATTTAAAATAAAAGAACCAACATTTCTAACGATTAAGAATTACTTTATAGAATTCATTTAATATATGGAGAAACTCTTTAAATATTTTTATGGTATGTTAAAAAACTGAATTTTGACATTTCAGTATCCAGAATACGATTTAAGCTTATTAGCTCCCAATCAGTAAATGTTTTTAATCATTTTCCACTGAAAACTAATACTATGATGCTTCACATTATAAACGTTTCATCAAATACATTCAAATATCGCCAAGTTATTTAATTTTCATTGCTACTCATTTTTTATTAGTGGTCTTGAACGATGTAACAAATCCCTCTGTTATATATTTTTTGGTAAGATTTCAATCTGGCCATCGCTCGTTTCTTATTGTTAAACGTCAAAATCCCCCGAACTCGATCATCTGTCAAAGTTCAGAAGGATTTGACGTTTAGCTATTGCTCTCTCACTGCCAATAAAAGATGAGTTGGGCATCTCTTAATCTCTGCATGGGCGATGCGACATGTGAAGAGTTGACGTTACGAGTTTTCCAAAGTAAGGTTCTGCGGAAGATTTCTGATCCTTTGCAGATTGGCAGCGTCGAATATCGCATTCGATGGAATGATGAGCTGTTCGAGTTATACGACGACATTGACATAGTTGAGCGAATTAAGAGGTAGCTGATGCGCTGGCTAGGTCATGTCGTCCATATGGATGAAAGCACTCCAGCTGTGAAAGTACCCTCCGGGGGAATCAGAGGGATAGTAAGACCTCCACTTCGTTGGATGAATTAGGTAGAGAAAGACCTGGCTGCACTTGGTGTATTTCGAATTGGACCCAACTTTGTGAAAGAAGAAACGATTGGCGCGCTGTTGTTAACGGTCCATTAAAGAAGAGGAAGGATGTTCGAAAATCCTGGTATTAGTTATTTAGGGGCTACGTTAAGTTTTCGATCAAATTAATTTATTTTAGACGCAAAACGCTCTCTGATTTTCATTGAGATAGCTCACAAAAAATCTTTATATTAGAAAGATGGTAGCTAGGGGAGTATTGGTCCGATTCAACACATTTTTTACATACATACCTCTGTCAAAGAAGGATTATCCCTGAATTTCAAACATATATCTCACACATTGACCGGTATTTTCGATCAAAAGTCAACTGTACCTATAGGGGTTAAATATTCGGTACTTAAGGGCTAGAATAATTTTTGTTGGATTTGAACAATTTTTGGTCACTATTAATTGCTTCTTGATTTGTGTACCACAGAGTAAAAGAATGAAGTGAAATTTAAAGGTGTGCTATATGGGAAGTAGGGTTGGTTGTTCTCCGATTTCATCCATTTTTATTCCAAAATATAGGAGTTTGTCGAAATCGGTCGGTCGGGTCCCGAGATAAGGGATTTCACCAAAAAACCACGCCCATCGTCCAATTTCATATCGGCTCCCATAAAGATATGGCATGAGAAGGCTATTCTTGATTTATTCCGTTTTAGGTAGTTTTATAGGGGGAGTGAGCAAAGATCCAATTCCAATTTACTTAATAATTATTTCAAACTGTCGATAGGAGTTCTATAATATTTGTGATTTGGTTATTGTACGCTTATTGGTTTAGAAGATATGTACATAAAACTTATTAAAGGTAGAGGCCACAGTCACTTTTCCAAAAAAATTTACCCACAGCTGCTCCTTGATACTGCGATCCCCTGTGTAAAATTAAAGTTTTATATCTTAAGGGATCGTCTTACTGTGACTCTCCGAAAACTCACTGAAATTCGCTATTTTTTAATGTTGAAATTAACTAATCGGTCCGGTATTTTATAAATAAATACATTCATGACAAATAGAAAATGATATTTTATGCTTATTTGTTGGGTGTTAATTAGTTAATTAAATTATTGAAATGACACGTAGTAAAAAAAATCCTGAGCGATGTTTGCGATTGCGGCCGCAATTTTGACGGACTGGCGGAAAGACAAACAGACGATCACCCGAATTGCAACTTTTCTCCTCATCCTTTATACACCCTGTCCAGAAATTATCGGGAATTCTTCATTTAAATCTCTCGCTTATATGGAAGACAGGTACATTTTCTTCATAGGTTGGTACACCCGCCCTTAATTATGATGCCAAAAATTTACGCGATCTGTCAACAATGTGTTTACTGCAGCTGTTTATGTCAGTATAACACACTGGTTGATATATCGCACTAATTTTTGGCGTCATAATTAAGGACAGTTATATCAACTTAGGAAAAAAAATTTACCTGTCTTCCATATAAGTGGTAGATGAGAGGGGGAATGGAGAATTCCCGATACTTTCTTGACAGAGTGTATTTATATTACCCTATATCTATCTCGATTAGTTTTAGGTGATACGTACAGCAGTTAGGATAAACTCGTTTGTCCATTCGAGCCGGGATGGGCTGCTAGTTGTTTATAAAAAAAACTTGCAAAGATGTACGAAGTTTACAAGATAATGTTCTATTTTTGCTCTTCCAGGGATGAGAAACCGCGCTGTTGGATCCCATGCCATGAATGATCACTCGTCCCGATCGCATACCATGCTCACTGTGCATATTATTTCTGAGCAACAAACCGACGGTGGAGTTTTTATTTCAAAGCATGGAAAAATCAACTTTGTAGATCTGGCTGGCAGCGAACTCACCAAGAAAACGCTTAGCGAAGGCAAGACTCTGGAAGAAGCTAATAATATAAACAAAAGTTTGATGGTTTTGGGTAAAATCATTCAATTTCAACTTTGCGACAAGCACTGACCTCTTTTATTTACAGGTTACTGCATTGCATCACTGAGCGACGGCAAAAAAAGATTTGGTCACATTCCCTACCGGGATAGCCAACTAACTAAATTACTCGCTGACAGTTTAGCTGGAAACGGCGTTACACTCATGATCGCTTGTGTATCTCCAGCGCAATATAATCACGCCGAGACCTTGAACACCTTACGTTATGCGTCAAGAGCCAAACGTATTCGCACGAAACCTGTCATTATGATGGATCCACGTGAGGCACTCATTCTTAGCCTAAAACGTGATATAAACGCTTTAGTAATGGAAAATGATCACCTCAAATCCGCACTCAACTTGCACCATGAATCACTCAAGACTCCGAATGAAAAACACCAGAATGGAGAATTATTGGAAAAGCATCTTGAGCGTGTTGCCACCGGTGGCATGGCAGTACCAAAAGTTAATTTGGAACGATTAGCAGAGCTGGATGGCAACGAACTAGCCGAACTAGTGAAGTTATATATGCAAGAGAACGAAGCATTAAGACAGGAAAACAATCACCTATTTACAGTGCGCGAAACCATACTCAGAGACCAAGAAATCGTATGTCGCGAGAATGAACGATTGTTAAAAAAGCTTGAGGATGTTAATAAGTGAGTTCGCACTAAATTTACATGTGTACATCACATAGTATTTATTTAAATATACATATACAATATACACTCACACATGTCGGAGCACAAACCTATATACGTATCTACAATATATTTCTGTTCTATGTACGTGCTCATTGTTCTTCTTCTCCTCTCGTTTTAGATCGAGATTCGAGATGTCGAGCAATGAGCCGGACATATATTAAACAGGCAGTAAACAAAAACAATGATGGCACGCATAAAAAATCCTTTAACATACTCACATACCATATATATTTACATAATTTTCAAAATCAAAATTGGAATATAACTATGCCCATATGTACATAATGTCCTCAAAAGATATGTATTTGTGTTGTGTAGATGCGTTGGTATATTTTTTGAGCTGTTTTTTAGATTATAAGAAATAAACTAATTAAAAAACGTTTAAGTATTAATTATTTTCGTAACAAAGATGAAATTACTGATTATCACTCCTATCAAGGGTTTGTGTGCGCTCACCTCTAATACTCGCGCGTTCCGCAATAACGGCCGACTCTGGAAATAGCACAACAAGATCCGAGATTTGGACAAATCCTCATGATGTACCTATCCACCAGGTAAAAATCAATTTCAAAACTGTTTTAAATGCATATTGTATATTAATACTAACACAACACACAACATAACTAATCATAAATAAAGCGCCCTACTGAAATGGAAGGCAGGATATCGGAGAATAAAGATAAGCGCTCTGATGAGGATCAACGTATAATCGATCAGCAACGCATTGCAAAAAATATTATATTAATGGCCAGTTCATTTCCGAAAAAGCCTGATGAGATAAACAAAGGAGGATACCAAACTGAAGAAAGGAAAATGTTACAAAACGACACACCGAAAACTCCCCAAGCAGATTATATGCCAGAGTAAGCTACTCGTTAATTTGCTTTTTATAGCAACCTAATTAATAATTTTCTTCTTATTTCTCTATTGCAGTATGCTTATGTGAGCAAATGCACATGACAGTTAATGCCGATATACTATATATGTATTATTGTGACACAAATATTTGGTGAACAAAACATCGTCTATTAAGTACAAACTGAAAATACCTGAAGCTAAATATATATCATAAGTATGTGTGTACATATATATAGATATCTATGCATATTACAACGTGAGTTCCAAAGTAAGCAGGCCTTTTTGAATCCAGCGCCCCTTGTGGCGCCATCTATATGTCGACTAGTGCGTTAGAATCTGATATCTTTATCGATTGTTCAGTGAGAATTTCATCACATTTCATTGCTTGGAAATGAAGTTATTGCGTTTTAAGTGTCATTATGTTTGTGTTATCGGTTCGAAAATGAGCTTCGAACAAAGAGCCAACATTAATTTTTTTTTTAATTTTACCGAAACCTTTCAATAGGTGAAACAATTTTATAGCGATAATTAGCTATCCCGTAACAGAGTGCACGAGTGGTTTCAACGTTTTCGTAGTGGTCGTAAGGACATAAATGGCGATAAATATGTGGGAAGATCAAAATCCGTGATTCCCGGAAATTCCTTCGATGAATTCACGCACAATATTAATCGAAAATCTGCCGAAATCATCATTGAAATTCATGGAAATGAAATTGAACAAGACATCGATTTACCGTATTTTGAGCGAACATTTAGGCTTATGAAAGGTGTGTGCACGGTTTTTTCCCGCAAATTGACTGACAACCAAAAATTGCTCAGAATCCAACATTCGAAGAACGATTATTCGACCGAAAATCACATTTTAAGAATTAACCACTCCCCGTAATCACCTAATATGGCCTGTGCGACTTCTTCCTTTTCGGAAAAAAGAATTTGGCCATGAAAGGAAAGCGTTAAGCAGACGTAGAGGCCATTCAAAAGGCTTGCACCGGCATACTGGAGGCCATACCGGCCAACGAGCTAAAACACTCGTTCGACATTCTTTTGGACCGTGAAAAAAGTTGAAGCAGAAGGAGACTATTTTGAATAAAATAAATTGATTTTGTAGTTTTGCTTTGGAACGCTCCTTGTATATTTAAGATGGAAACAATCTGATATTTGTAATAACGAAAAATTCACATTTAATACACATACGAAATACTAGTTTTATGCTTATAATTTCATATTTTATTTTATCTGTAACTGTACAAATATATTTGTTTCCTGCATTCGCTTTACATGGAAATCTGACTATTTTCCACTGTTTGAAAAGTTAAAAACATATTTACTGAGCTCTACAGAAAGCATGTAGAGATTACACTGGATTTTGGAATTAAATTTCAACTTAAAGTGTCCTGTGTCGTTCACTAAGTAATTTGAATTATAGAGCAATTAAACACATAATTTTATTGTGTCAAAATTTTATGAAATTATATTCTCCATGAATTTATATATTCATCAAAGATTTGACGACATCTACCAAGGATATATGTAATCCACATCGGTTTCAAGAGACCATTCAGGACGTTGTGCATCCCCAAGTTCGAAATTTCTGGAACGAAATTGTGCAAATCAATTTCGAACGTTCGGTTATTACATCTTTTTACGAAAGCGTTGCTTAAACTGCAATTTTCCCTTTTTGACAGTAAGGCAATAAAGTATGGCAAAAACAGTTTTTTCGATTTTTCATCTTCAATAGGGCACCAAAGAAAAGTTTTGGAAAATTGTTTACAAACAAGCCATACTATATCAGCTGTTCAATTATATAACCTTAAAGCGGGTGTGTGAAGTTGTCTGCGCAAAAATTTAATGAAATCATCATCATCAAACGAAATTATTTAGTGAATGACCCAATTAATGTAGTTGTTTATACTTTCAAAGGTATTTTCAATCAGAAAAACAAATATATACTAGCTGTCCCCGCAGCCGTTGTCCTGCGTGAGATTATGTGTTTTGAAATGAAAAGAAATTTGAATTTATCATCTCATTTTTTTCCCAATGTACCTCAGCTTGATAAGCAACATTTTTTGGTTTCTGTTCCTGTGCACAAAAAAGATAGTTTTCCAACTCGTGAGCACGCCACGTTTTCCGGCTGTGTGAAAAACATAGCATTTCAAAGGAAATCTTAGAATCAAGCGTTCTGCCCTTTGTATTCGATAGCTGCGTCACAGCCAATCAGGTTCCATTACACAGCTTCCGTGCATGAAGATTGCGAAATATAATACCAACAGATCCAACTTTGAGACGCAAATGATGCGGGGACATACCAAGCCTCTCCAAAGAATTAAGAAATTCCCCATAATAATTCACGGTGTCCTTTTCATTGTCAAGACGATCGATGGATTTGTATGAGCGCAAGTCCCCCGGAGTTTTACTTTGAATCTTCCACTTTAAGTCAACAACATAGGTATTTTTGGCAGCTACTGTAGCTACGATAATTTGACCAATGTCCGAACATTCATGATGAGATCATCTTTCGTGAATTGATAAACGTCAGATGGAATTGGCATCAAACCACCGGAAGTATCAACCGGAATTGAGCCATATCCAGTTCTTAGCTTATACGATGTAAAATGTCTTCGGCAATATCCTTTTTGTTCGTATCCCATAATTGGCGCAGATTTGAAAGCTGATATAAGGAAACGATCATCGTGGAAAGTGTCCGAACTTCATTTGCATTCGAAGTAGCTATCGCATCGTCCATCGTTTGATTCCAGTGATTATCATTGCTTCTCAAAAAGTTGTACACACCATACCATTCACAGTACGCAATGACTGAAATGAATTTGAACCGCGTACATTAATGAATAGCATTCGAAGATAGAAGGGTCTTTTCGGGTGGACTGTATAAATTCGTCCTAAGTCATTAGTTGAGAACACTCCTAGATGTCCATCTACTGGTTGGATTTGCTTTCTGCGTAACTATTTCTTCGACGATGCATTCCATGTATAATATCAACATATTTTCGAATTGAGCAATGTTCTCGCAAACAGACCACTGACGAAAGTTGAGAAAAATTTCGTCAATGTTAATTTTGTTTTATTGCGGCTATCCACTGTATTCTCTGGGCGGAAATACAATCTTTGGTCTCCAAATTAACTGTGAGAGGCACAATAGTCGGAAAACGTTCATGAATTTCAAAAGTAAATATCTTACAAAACGCTTCATTGCAGTACACGAATCGACCCATTTAATATTTGCTGATCTCATCTCGTTTAAGGCCAGTAACCACCATGTTGTTTTCTTTGGTGATGGACTCGCAAACGTATTTGACCGATTTCACCAAACTGCAATATATGAGTTTTGAATGTAGACATTAGTGGTGAATATAGTGCGATCCATGTTTTGTCAACTTCGATATTCACTCTTCTAAATTGAGCGCCGCCAATAGAGTGAATATCCATCATTTCCAGTTTGTGTTTCCGAAAATAAAGCAACTGGATCAGGGATTTCCGCACAAATGAGTTCATCAATTTGATCTGGTTTAACCAACATTCACCATCTTAAAAAGAAGGTGTACATGCAGCAAATCTATTTTTTGCGCCTGAACAGAATACATCTAGCATCTAACAGCACCATATATACATACGTACATACGTTGCTTCAGGATAAAGTTTATCAAACATCGCAACTGTTATTTGAAAAGCTGTGCTGTACCATCGTGACGATCGCTTGCTTATTGACCGCGATCCATAATTCCACACCCATGTCAGCAGATCCTGGGAATACTCAGTCATGTGCCTTGGGCTGCCAATGTACGTTGATGCCAAAAAGAACGCCGACCGATATTAGCGCGAATTGCATCGCAGCAAATTTCAATCTGAAATTGAGCACTTTGTGTGAAACACACATAACGTTTTCAGTGAATAATTTTCAATAATTTTTTTCTGAATAGCCGGAATAAAGAAAGCAAATGACAAATTTGAACCATTCAAACAATTGAAAATACAACAAACAAAAAAATTAAAAAATAATTTTGGTATGAAAAAAAGTTACTTTTTGGAATTTTCCGACTTTTCCTAACGAAAAGCACACAGTTTTTGAAATGAAAATTTCATCAAAATTGGTTCAGCCGTTCTCGAGCATTAGCGTTACTAACAAAGAAACATTTATTCATTAGTATGGGAAAACAGAAAAGGGCTATTTTTAGGGGTTTTCCGGCAAGTATTCGATTTTAAAAACCATCCTTGAACCTCAACGAACATATTGAAAAAAGAATTGTCTAAATTGGTGCAGGCGTTGTTGAGTTATGCGCTTAGCAACACATTTTGCGATTCATTTTTATATATAAGATATATGTATATACATATGTATATTTCGAAATAATCAATTAAATGTAATTGTTTCTGTTGAAAAGTCATTTGAACTAGCATTACTTCGAGCGTAGTAGATTAACTTTAAACTAATTTTTTGCTTATAATTTTCAATATTACTGGTGACAGGAGTAAACATTAATCGCTCTGTAAAGTAGTTTGGCCATTGTCTATGGTGTGAATTTCCTTAAATGTTAACACGAATATAGTGTCGGACACCTGTCGTACTGAGGTAGAACAATGAATTAGGTTATCATTACAGATAAAGCTGCAAACAATCGTAAGAGCTATGAATATTATTTTCGTCTCACTATCGATCGTTTATTTTGCCTTAAATAGATTTATCCACATTTTCACAAAATTGCAAAAAATATTTTAACAAAGCCACAAAATGATCTACTTGCCAAATTTATTTATGAGAATTTAAGGCCGTGATGTGGCCAGCAACCAACATGATAATCAATAATATTTTCAAGATAAGTAGAAAAGTGTGAATATGTTGCAAATTGAATGCCTTTATTACATCCAAACATTCCACGTGCATGTAGTCTAGAGCGAATACCTGGATCATTGTGATTAGAAGTTTTTCAATCTGCAAAGAACTTTGCTGATTGTGATGGCTGACATCGGTTTTTTGCCGAAAATTTATATTTGTGCTCATAGGATGGTTTTGGTAATGGAATATCATACGATTCTCTTTTCGCTCGCCCCTCTGAATGCACTTTGTGCAGCAAATGTAGCCAGCGTGTCCTTTTACTCCAAGTATTGAAATTTTATTAAAAAAGCCATTTTGGAGAAGATCGTTCAATTCATCGACAAATTGTGATAGAAATTTATTCACATCATTTATTCAACGAAAACTGAATCCGTTTACATCCACTAAAATAGGTCACACGCTTTTCTTCGAAATTCGTAACCCATCGATGTAATAGCAGAGAACGTATATTTATAGAGAAGGGCCAACAACGGACAAGCGTGTGAACCAGAGATAAAGAGATGTTTAACTCCTC